ATGCAGAACTGGGGATTGAACCCAGGGCTCCATGCATGCTAAGAAAGTCCCTGGCTGACTCAGCACATTCTCAGCCGCTGGCTGATAGTTGTAATTTCTCACTCTTAGAAACTGTTACAAATATCCCATATGCATCCTTAAGTACTATCCATGTGGATAGCAGCTGAGCTTGGGGCACATGCTGGAATGCTTCCTACACTGTGGATATTACCTCATCTAACCTTTCTAATCCAAGAATAAGCTCATTATGATCCCAACTTCCAGAGGGTAACCAGGGGGCTGTGAAATGATCTGCTTGGATCTCATCTGGGAAGTATGGCACCTTTGTTCCAGCCCTACCCTTTGTGCTAGCAGCATTGTGAAGAAATGACTGCATAAGGGTATGAACATTTTTAAATGCTAAATTACCAGCCAGAAAAGGGTTTTGTTGCTGTTATTCTTTGTAATTGTTTTTCCAGACATTGTCTGATGTAGCACAGGCTGGCCTTAAACTCTCTACATACACAAGACTGGCCTTGAACTCCTGATCTTCCTGCCTCCACCTCTTGAGTGCTGCTCCAACAAACTGGTGTGGTCTTGGGTGTTGGTGGTGTTGAGAAAGCCTATGGAGGTCTTTCTTCCTATCGCTGACTTCCTCTTGGACCTGTATGACTGATACCACAAGCAGTTCTTTCCCTTGCAGGAGCTGAGCACCTTTTTCCTTCCTTCCTCTGCACATGGAGTTCCAGTCAGTCACACACGTGGTGCTGGATTCATCCGGAGTCCCAGTGTTTGCAGTTGTCCCATTTCTTCTCAGTGAGAGAAGAGGTGGGGCCAAGTGCTTTGTCCTCCTTTTTTTTTCCTAAGTTGGGTATCAGAAAAGATAGGGATTAGGAAGGAGTCGCTGTGTTGTTAACAGACAGTTGCAGCATTTATCGTGATCCATAAAAAACCTCAGTAGGATTGGTACTTATCAAGGCAATGTTTTCTAGTTGATTCAGTGTTTCCCAAGGTCCATTCTATACAAGTTTAGAGAGTGTACAGACAACAAAGCTGAAAAAGGACTGCATGCTGTTCTGGAAAGTCACAATTCACGGTAGCATGTTAAAGATGCTGAGAAATTGTACAGTAAAAACCTCGAAAATTTTGGGCTTATCATTTGATATTTATAAAAGAGATGTAATAAGCCTGTTTGTTAGAAAGCACACTGCAGTAAGCACGTGAACCGTTGGCCTAACTCCAGGACTAGAACATTGCCCAGCACCCACCTGCTCCTCTCCAGTTACAACCCTTATCTTCCCTCAGTTTGATGCAGGAATGTGCATCTTTATCACTTAGGAATGGATTTCTAAGTAACATTTTAGTTTTGCTTGGTTTTCATCACAACAATAGTAGCATTACATTGTTTTAGTAGGCATTACCTCTAAGATTTATCTATATCACTGCTTGTGACTTTGTTCATGCATTTTCAGTGCTGTGTAACATTTCCTTATATGGACAAACCAGTTTATTTCTGAATCACCTGTCTATTGAAACCTGAGAGGTTTTTTTTGTTGTTTTTACTTATTTTACTTTTAATATTGCTATTGCTTCTTTCAAGGAGCAAAAGAAATATGAGCCAAGAGTACTGGCATAATATAATTACATTGTTGGGAGCATAAAAGATGATGCTCATAGTGCTGTAAGCTAGCACTTAAGGAGGAGAGAAATCAGAAAAGTGAGCAGGATGTGCCTGGCTCAGGCTCCAGCCATGGAATTAAATAAGCCCGTATTTCTCAAATGAGGATATGTTACTCCTAGGGACATGCAAGGACACAGAAAAATGTAACATGTCTTTTAGAGTATCCATTTTCATATAATTCAGAACATACACAAAGAAGAATTAAATTAATAAAATAAAATGAAGCTGTGGCAGGAACGTATAAAGGTTTTCAGGAAAACAGAAAACCCCAAGTGCTGGGGTTCTGTCTGTGTACCACACTTGGATTAACGCTGTTTCTTCTTATATGGTCCATAAAGACATAAAAACTACATAGTCCATTTTTTTTATTATACTACTTAGTGTGTATGTAGAAGGGGTATGCATATCATGGCACACATGTGGACACTGGAAGACAATTTGTTCCCTTTCCACCACGTGCATCCAAAAAGCAGACTCAGGACACCAGGCTTGGCATCAAGCACCTTTACCCACAAAGCCATCTCAGCAGCCATTGCACTGCATGTATGCATTAGATAATATTAGTCCCCACAAATGAGCCTGTGCCCTCTCCCCCTTCTTCCTCCCATATAATATCTGCCTCTAGACTATAGTGAAAAGGATAAAGATGCTGACTTAGGTTTGTACATATGTGTGGAGTGTTGTTTAGGAACAGTTATTCATAGGAATTGCCTAGTAATTAACAGAACATTAATGCTCTGAGTGCTGGTTTCTGCTCTGTGAGCAGAGACTAGAAAGTAAAAATGATACAAGCATTTCAAAAGGATTTATTTTTGTTTTATGAGTGTTCGCCTGCATGTGTGCAGAGGCCAGAAGAGGGCATCAGATCCCCTGAAATTGTGAGCCACTGTGTGGGTGCTGGGAGCCAAACCCAGGTCTTCTGGAAGCGCTCTTAACCGCTGAACCATCTTTCTAGCCCAGTGCCTGCTTTTCTGTGTATAATGAGTTTTCAAGGCTTGCTGTCCAAGAGCCAGACTCCTCTCATTCCACCTGCCATCTGGAGAGTTGGGAAAGCACCCTGGTGACAGACAGCACAAACCAGGAGCAGCAGTGCTGACTGTCAGCCCCATGCTGTCTGTTTAGGCCACACACCCTGCCCAGATGTGCTATGTATCTGGCCCTGAGAGCCCCTTAAAGTCAGCCTCATAGGCGATGGTCCTGCCCACACATAGTTCAATGTAGTTCACAGTCATGCTCAGTAAACATTTATTAAATTGAATTTAACTGAACTGGGTCGCATTCTAGCTCCACACGAGATTTTTTTAGTTTCTTTTTAGGTAAGATTGATTTTTTTTTAAAAAATCTAGACAAGAAAAGGCATTCTTTTTGTTTCATTGTTTTTAAACATAGTCTAAATTTAGGATACAGCTACCAATATGTTCATTACCCATAATTTTTAAGCATTCTGAGCAATGACTCATCAAAGTCCTTAAATAGATATTTGAAAAGTCACAATAGCCTTGGGAAACAAAATTAGGTTTGGCAAATACCGTGTTTTCTCTTTGCAGTCAGGAATATTCTGTCTTACTGATCTACAAGGGAGGGGTGTGCTGTATAATTTTAGCAAATTCTTTTCCCTTTGTACTAGAGTTGAAAATGAGCAAAGATCATCTGACAAATTCCTATAGGGAACCCAGCACAGCTTCCTTCTTACTAGAAACCATTGCCAGAGAACATTCCCTTTCCAAATGCAATACTGCCTCCTCTCCTGACACTGGCTCAGTGTCCTCCAGTAAGTATCTCCAGTCTGATGGCCAAAAGGTGAGGCCAGACAGAGGCATCTATACTTCAGCAGAAGATAAATGAGCTTGGTTTCTACTCCTTTCCTCCTCCTCCTCCTCCTCCTCCTCCTCCTCCTCCTCCTCCTCCTTTTTGTCTCTAATGGAGTCTAGAATTTAAATCTTCCCAGAATCTTCCAGGTCTGAACTATAAAGCAGTGACGAGGTGCCTTCCACTCATCTCACCCTGCTCTAGAGCTGTCTCTTGAGTCTTGAACTTGCTTACAAATGTTAAAGAGAAGCCTCTCTCACCAGTGGGCGACTACTTTAAACAATTTGTTTATTTAGCTTATGTTTTGGGGGTAGCTTTACCAAGCCCTGCAGAAGTGGCTGAGTAAAACTCCAGCTTAAGCAGACTCTGTCGAAATATGAAAGGTAAGGACCACACCTAAGGTTGTCCTCTGACCTCTACATGCATGTCCTGACATACCACACACACACACACACACACACACACACACACACACACACACACACCCAGGACAGAAAACATTTTAAAGAGGAAAGAGTATCCAATAAGATAAACTCTATAGCTGGTAAGTGGTACACGCCTTTAGTCTCAGCACTTGGGAAGCAGAAGTAGGCAGATCTCTGTTTACAGGACAGCCAGTAATGTTACGCAGAGAAACCCTGTCTCAAAACAAAAACAAAAACAAAAACAAAAACAAAAAAACAAAGAAACTCTGTATTTTAATAAAATACAGATAATAGGTATAATGGTTCTCAACCTCAGTCACAGTCCCCGCAGGGGTCAACATCAGATATCCTATATGTCAGATATTTACATTACAATTCATAGCAGCAGCAAAATTACATTTATGAAGTAGCAACAAAATAATTTTATGGTTGGGGTCCCCACAACATGAGGAACTGTATTAAAGGGTCACAGCATAGGAAGGTTGAGAACCACTGTCCTAAAGTAATACATTAAAACCTTGCCTTTAAAAGATCCAGGGTCCTGCGACTTCTTTTTAAAGTTTCAGTGAATAGGGGCACCCGCTGCTGAGCTTGATGAACCGAGCTACAAGTTGTCCTCTGACCTAGAGGACACACTGTGGCACATGTGAGACATGTGAGACATGGCGGCTACACTCACACTCTCACCACTTAGAAGGCTGAGAGAAAAGGGTTATATGAAGCTAGCCTGGGTTACATAGTGAGCTCTAAGTCAGCTAGAGCTATGTCATAAAACCCTGTCCAAAAAACAGCAAAATTTTAGCGAGGCAAGGTGATGTCACACGCCTTTAATCCCAGCACTCAGGAGACAGAGGCAGGTAGATCTCTTTGAGTTTGAAGCCAGCCTGGTCTACAGAATGAATTCCAGGACATCCAAGGAAAAAAACAAAAACAAAAGAAAACACATAAAGGCGTTGTCAATCCTCCAGGCCTGAATGTTTTTTCCAAAATACTCAGCACACAGTATCAGATAGAACTTAAGTCTGTTCAGTGCCTGCCATGAGAGTGATGCTCTTTTTTAGTGAGGCTTTTGCTTTTCTGCTAAATAACCTGAATCTCCTTGTCAGTTTCCTAGAGGAAGTCCTGGCTTCAGGGCTGCATAGCCGCAGCAGGGAGAGCTCACAGGCCACCTCGAGGTCAACAAGCAGAAGATGAAACGGCAATGAAGAATGACGAGAATAGCACAGCCTCCCTCTTACCCCGGCCTCAGCCCTTCCCTGCTGCCCGGGGGCCTCAGGAAGGCTCTTGTGTTTGTTGTAACTCGTGCCAGGTAACCCCAATCCCTGAACTGCTGGCACAGACACTGGAACGCCCATGATGAGCCCATCCCAACCCACTTGTGATTCTGTACCAAATAAACATGTCCTTTGTGTATTTGACAGCACAGTCACTTCAGTGTTTGATGGGCGTTGTTGAGATTGTTCTTGAGAAATGGGTTGTCAAAATAAGGAAGTCAGAAAGCCGTGTGCTGTACATGGTACCATCCCTATGCCCTGTCTTCTCTTGGTGGTCTGAGTGATAGGAGCCAGCCATGGTAAGGACCGTGGAATCAGACCTATGGGAAGTTGACAAAGCCTTTCCCTTAGATCAGGCTCAGAAAGGCAAGTCCTTCCTCTGTCCAAGTAGGAATGTTCTAGCAATATTGACCACTAAAAAACTAGCAACTACAGCTTCCTCCTCCAGTACAACTGAGGCCTGAGACTGCCCCCTACAGACACCACCTACTGAGACTAGCCTGAGACTGCCCCTACAGACACCGCCTACTGAAACTAGCCTGAGATTGCCTCTACAGAAACCACCTACTGAGACTAGCCTGAGATTGCCCCTACAGACACCACCTACTGAGACTAGCCTGAGAATGCCCCCTACAGACACCACCTACTGAGACTTGCTAGCCCCACCCTCTTTACCCCCTTGGCAGTACTTGAGGCCCTGAGGCTCCAGGTTGCTGTGGCAGTACTGAAGCTTCATCAGGGGGCACACAGAGCACCTGGCCTCAGTTTTTCTGTACCTGTGTTTGTTTCTGTTCTTCCTGCCTTCCCTTTCTGCCCCAGGAGGAGTTCCAGGACACAGCCCCTCATTTCCTGTTCACCTCAATCCTGCACCCTTCTTTGGAGAGCCATTTGCTGTGTGTTGAGAACCCATGTAGGGCTGCAATTAGAATTCAGTCTGCAGACATACGGGTGGTTTTGTTTGACTTCTTTAAGGCTCACTCATGGGGATGACTTGAGATAGTGTTATACCATACAATGAGAGCATGCCTGTACCCAGGGCACGTTTAACTGTACCAGAGCAAATGAAAACTTTCCTGAAAGTTGTAAAAAGTGATGGAATGAATAATGGCAGGAAATTACAGTGTCCTCACATAATTGGAGAAAAGGTGTCACAGGATAGTCTGTTATCACCACAAGAGTCCCTCCTGGTTCTCTGTAGAGTGTGTTTTTAAAGTTTTAAGATTGTATATGTGTTCCTGTGTGTGTGTGTGTGTGTGTGTGTGTGTGTGTGTGTGAAGCTCCCTGAGTGCTGTAAAAATGTGTAAAGGAAATCAGAAGTGCTTATTCTAAGTTCTCACTTAAGCACTGGTCTCTGGAAACAGTGCCACTTAGGATCCAAATTCAGGTGCCCATGATGTTCGCCTGGTGAGAGAAATCCACTTTACAGCAAACTGGGTAGAAGCTGGCATATGTAAACGTCTAGTGCCAAGACAAAGAAGCAAAGGTGAGGAAGATGGCCGAGCTTCTTAATAGTTCCGGTTACTGGGAGGGAGGGAGCCCCGGGGGACGGGGACCAGCCAGAGATTTATGTAACATCTTAAGACACAGACAGGCAGCAAAGGCTCTGCAGCCCACATGCATCTGCTCTAGAATCTGAAAATTACTTTGGTTATTTTTTTATGGGTCCCTCTGCCTGATGTTTCTCAGAGCACTAGCTCCTGCCTGATGCTGTGCAGAGAGCCCAGGGATACTCTAGTATCTGTAGACTAAGTGAAAGCTCCTGGGAGGAAGGCGATGAGGCAAAGTCATGAATTTCTTCTGCCCCACCCCCAGCCACAATTTATCATTCTATTTCCTCCTTGTGATGCTGACAATTGAGCTAGACCCCCCTCCTGAATGCTAGGCAAAGAGATCTACCACTGAGCCACACTCCCAGCCCCTTTGAAACTATGTAAATCAGGTGGAGACAGGAGGATTAGCACATCAAGATTAGCCTTAGCTATGTAGTAAGGCTGAAAAAGCTCCTGTAGGCTAATTTCCTCAGCTGTGTCCTCACACTGGTACATTATGCTTCCTCACATAGCCTGCATTTTCTCACTTTTTTTTTTCATCACCTTTTAAACAGGACAGTACCAAACTGAGCTGGGGAGACGGGAAGGGGATAGTTTCAGAAGTGCGCTCTGTGTGTACAAAGTCTAAAAGGTACAACGGGGTCAGAAAACCTATATTCTAATTCATGTAACAGTAGTGTGTCAATTTGACCATGTCATTTGGTTCTCCGTGCCCGACTGATCATTTCCCAAGGGATAACATTCCCATTCTATATGCCTAACAAAACGGTACTCAATATTTTTAAGTGCCAAAATAATATTTTGAAAGGATAAAGTTCTGCATCCACCAGAAAGAAAAAAAAAAATCAGTTCGTATGGCTAGGAAAGAGAATCTTACAGGATTGGGAAGGGAGATGGGTCTGAGGTTCTTTCTTGACAGATTCCAAAAAAGCCCAAACATCCTCCACGCCTCCAACCACAAACTTCGCAACCCTTCATCTTGAACGTTTCTGGAAAAAGACTATTTCCCCTGCTCCGTAGCAGGGGTCTTTACTCACTTCGTGGTTGCTGTGTTTACCATACTATACCAGGTAATAGGTTTATTGGCTTATTGTCTGGTAGTAATTGGCCCTAGGAGACAACCCTTGGGTCCTCCGGGGCTTTCATGGGTCAGCTCACCCTCCTCCATTTACCCGGCAGGGGCACGGAGACCGCCGAGTGGTGAGGAAAGCCGTCCTCAAACTTGGGCTCCCGCCCGGCCCCGTCACAAACTCAGGGCT